CCTGCTTGCCTGCCTGCTTGCCTGCCTGCTTGCCTGCCTGCCTACCTGCCTGCCTACCTGCCTGCCCACCTGCCTGCCCTTTTAATTCTTTCTATTTTATCATTTTAGCTTCATCAAAACAGACAACACCCAAACGAAAGTCAGGCTAACAAAAAGATTTGGCCAATGGAAAACCAACAAAGATTCCATCCAGAACCGAATCCCATACCTCGGTGAATCCAAGTCTCTGCTGACGACAAATGAATACTCCAGCTGGTATGGACCAGGAAGTGTCATAACAGATAGCAGTGACCTCAAACCTTCTGCCTGGATTTACCCTGATATGTATTCACCTGGTATTGTATGGTATTGGTTGAATGAAGATGACTGTGATTCGTCCAGGAAACCAGGTATTTATGGTGAAACCAGGTATTTAAGGGAAAGCCAGGTATTTATGGTGTTGCAATGACCACGTGATTGCATAACAGTCAGAGCAGGTTCCGAATAACTATTTCAATAACTAGTTTAAAAACGGTACAGCGCGCAACACCTTGAAACAGAATTGAAATAAAATTTCGGCCAATGAAAATGCTCGGACATGGCGCCGTCAAGGTCACGGTACGTCAATTCAGAGTATGTCAGAGTATATTAAAAAGATACACACAACCCATGCATAGTACGTGCGGCGAGCAATACATTGATTACTATATTTGACTAACAAACATTCTCTCATGTAGTGCACGGTGGAGTATCTGGTTGGACTAGTTGGAGCCAGTGTGATCAGCTGTGTAAGCCCGGCAAACAAAGAAGGAGAAGGCTTTGTGACAATCCCAAGCCTCGATGTGGTGGTAATCCGTGTGACGTAAAGATGATAGCAGAAGAAACGAAGGACTGCAACGTGTGCCCTGGCAAAATCATGTTTTTGTTGTTGTTGTTGTTTTTCTTTCTTTCTTTCTTTCTTTCTCTCTTTCTCTCTTTTTCTCTCTCTTTCTCTCTTTCTCTCTCTCTTTCTCTCTTTCTCTCTCTCTTTCTTTTTTCCTTCCTTCCTTCCTTCCTTCCTTCCTTCCTTCCTTCCTTCTTCCTTCCTTTTTCCTGTTTCCCCCCCGCTCTTTGCTTATAAATTTCTTCTCTACTTCTTTTCTTTTTGGTTTTCATTTTTCGACTATGCCATATAATTGTCCTATAGTGACTAGTTTTATGTAAACATATTCATAACTTATGATACATTGAACACTAACACAGTTTTGTATATATTTTGTGCACAAAGAGAGCCCAATCAAATCATCCAATGGCCTTTGTGTCCAGCCTGAAGTGCCCGGATGTAGTTTTCGCGATGGTACCTCCCTTGTCTATAGCCAGAACCCAAGTGATTGCTCGATGCAGAACCAAGCTTTTGTTTATGATAGCAATGAAATACTCCGTCACAAGTGCAGTGGGAAATTTGTTTGTCCAAAAGGTACCTCGTAAATTACTCGCATATTAACACATTAGATAAAATTAAGCATTCCAAGATCGAAGAAGAATCTGCGTAAAGTTAACATCGCAGTGCTCTGTGGGACTGTTTCAAGACAAAATGTTTCAACTTCGTGTTCTAAAACGTCCCAAAATGCACTGCAATGCCACCTCGACACCGTTTTTATCTCAACCTCAAAATGATTGATTAAAAGGACCAATTTGGGACCTTGTGTCTGGTTAATAAAGGGTTATCAAATATCATACAGTAATTGTTCAAATTGTGCCTACAATGCATGCATATAGCCCATCATATAACACAAAAACGACATGTTTTGAACATTTAAGTAAATCATATATAATTATGAAGCTGTGAAAATCAACCAAAATCGATCAAAACTATGGGCTATAGTCCATGCTTTCTAACCCAAAATGAACCATTTTATGATAGAGGTTTGTTTTACAGGGATGATTGTTGTATTTTGTTTTATAGGTGACTCAAATAACTGGTATAGCGCCAAACTTGTGCTGTCGTCAATTTGTTATGAAAATAACGCCAACTTTATAAGGTATGCCTTGAAGCACGCGAATCATTCGTTTGATCATTCGTTTTTGGTTTTCGAATATTTATATCCTGAAATTTTGATTTTATAGGACAAGAGAGAAATCTCTAAAGCATGTTGTCAGTGGATTCTGTGTTCATCCTCAGGGGGGAAGTGCGTTAGCTGGAGTACCTATGGTGCTATGGGAGACGTGTGATGAAAATAGACTCATTCATGACTTGTTTAAGCTATAAGATATTACAATGTATTAATCTACATGTATTAATCCAATCGACGTGTGAGTTGATTCAACCACCGTTATTTGTCTTCATTTTTCGATACCCAATAACCAAGATAAGAATACGAGTAAACCATAACTATATGACGTATTATATCTTTCCCATATAACCAAGATCAAAATAAAAGGAAACTATGGTTACAAAGGTGTGAAAAACACCCCAAAAAGAGCAAAACCATGGGCTATAGTCCACGCTTTTGACCAAAAACGACCCATTTTCAATATTTCATGAATAATGCATAATTTTAAAAAAGATGTAAAAATCACCCAATATCGATCAAAACCATGGGCTATAGTCCATGCTTTTTGACCAAAAACGACACATTTTTAATATTTCATGAACAATGCATAATTTTAAAAAAGGTGTGAAAATCACCCAATATCGATCAAAACCATGGGATATAGTCCATGCTTTTTGACCAAAAACGACCCATTTTCAATATTTCATGAATAATGCATAATTTTAAAAAAGGTGTGAAAATGACCCAATATCGATCAAAACCATGGGCTATAGTCCATGCTTTTTGAACAAAAACACCTATTTTTCAATTGCCATAAATAATTGATATTTTTTCAAAAGGTGTGAAAATGACCCAAAATCGACCAAAACCATGGGCTATAGTCCATGCTCTTTGACCAAAAATGACCCATTTTCAATATTTCATGAATAATGCAAAATTTTAATAAAGGTGTGAAAATCACCCAATATCGATCAAAACCATGGGCTATAGTCCATGCTTTTTGAACAAAAACACCTATTTTTCAAGTGTCATAAATAACGGATATTTTTTCTAGTGGTGTAAAAATGGTCCTAAATCCATCAAAACCATGGGCTATAGTCCACGCTTTTTGAACAAAAACAACCCATTTTCAATATTTTGTGAATAATGCATA